CTATCACTTCCTAAACTGAACAAGACTGCTATTTCGCTCTGAAAACACACAGGTCAAGTTCTAGAATCAACTGACATGCACAGAATATCAAAATACCTCCCACACACATTAGCACACAACTCACTTAGTATCGGATCTATACCGACTCTCTGGTCAAAATAGTTAAACAATATCAAAATCAAATAATTTAAAGCACTTATACAAGAGTCAAGAAATGAGTTAGATGTCACAGCTAAGGCACTCACTACTCTCAAGGCACAACAAAGTCCATAATAGTTATCTCCATTTAATACCATAGCACAAGACTTCTCTATACCTAACAAAAGAAAAAAAAACTGACTATACCCGGTTCAAGCAAAATCCTTGGAAAAGAACCGCATCACAAAGAAAAATCAAGGGAAAATTATTACACTACCTAAGAAAACAAAATAAAAATAAATGGCTACTTTTTTTAATTTTTTCCAACTTTAATCCCTCAAAGACAGTTGAGGAAATCCATCGTCGAGAAAAGTTAATTTTTTTCTCAAATAACACTAACGAGAATGCACATGCAACTGAAGAGACGAAAAAAATACACACATATACATATTTACACACATTTGAAATTGTGTCATGTCGCTATAACATACAAATAAAAAGTAAGATGTAAAAGAAACTCCCCTGAATCATATAGTCTGGGTGTGAATCAAAGTCAGGATCCACTTTGCACGCCCGACCCAGTGCACACATCCATGCTGAGATTTTCTTTTCTGATTTTTTAGGGTACACCCTACACTTATCGTGCTTACTCTCTCCAGCTCACTCCTTGAGGGCCTTTGTATTGACTTCAGAGTATGCAGCCGACTCATCTCTAGGTGCCCCTATTACTTCCTTCATCTTTAACGCCACTCTTTCTTCCCCCACTCTTAGCATGAACTGTCTGTCCTAAATATCCAGAACAGATCTGCCATTAGCCAAGACAGGTCTCCCTAAAATCAAAGGGACTTCTCTATTCTCTTCCATGTTCACCACGGTGAAATCCACAGGGAACGCAAAATTATCCATCCGAACCATCACACCTTCCACTATTCCTTCAAGTATTATTGTGGCATGATCTTTCAGCTGCAGAGACACATGTGCATATTTGATTGGCCCAATCTCTCTCTCTTTCTCTCTCTCTCTCTCTCTCTCTAAAGCTTCTTGAAAATAGACAAGGGCAGAAGATTAATAGAAGCACCTGAATCACACAAAGAATTCTTAAAGTTAGGATTTCCTAAAGAGTAAGGTATACTAAAACTCCCTGGATCTCCACACTTTTGAGGGAGCTCATTTTGCAGAATAGCACTACAATGCTCTATGAGCTTGACAATCGATGTCTCTTCTACTTTTCGCTTGTTGGACAATATCTTCTTCATGAACTTGGCATATGCTGGAATTTGTGACTGCACCTATGTGAAAGGTAGATTAACATGCACCTGCTTGAGCAGTTCTAGAAAACGCCCAAATTGTTTGTCCAACTTCTCTCTTCTTTGCTTCTGGGGGGTAAAGCAAGCATGTATTTGCTTTCCTTAGTCTCCTTATTCATTGAATTCTCGTTCTTCGTCTTTTTAAGATATCATGTATTCCTCTTCTTCTTCAGACCATCATCTGGGTTTACCCTCACTTCACCTTCTTGATTTTCATTATTTTATGCTCCTCCATAGTCTTTACTTGTGTTCGAATCTACTCACCTTTTTGCTTTGCGATAGAATCTTTAAATACTTGGTCACTTTTCAAAGATACAACATTTATTATTTCTTTTCGATTCCTCTTGATATCGGCAGGGAGAGTTCCTGGAGCCTTCTCAGATAATAGATTAGCAAGTTGTCCCACCTGTCTTTCCAAGTTCTGAATAGTTGTGCCCTTTTCCCGGACAGTTGCAACATGAGTTTCAAGTCTCTCATTTATCTTAATAATAAAGGCCTTCATTATATCTTCCATGCTAGACTGATAGATCTGTTGAGGCTGGTAATGCTGCCTTTGCTGATTTAGAAAAACCTGGAGCTACTTGTCCCTGGGGTCTGGGGTTATTTTGTTGCCATGAATTCAAACTATCACCAGGTGAAATCCACAAAAAATGGGGTGCTTCTGGCTCATGGAGTTGAAGTTATTACTACTTTGGTAGTTTCCTCTATCAAAGCTTCCCAAAGCATTTACCACTTCATCTATAGTTGAGGTTTGACACTCATGCGTTGGATGACTCATTCCGTAAAAGTCACAAACTATGATGGCTGGATCTGGACCCTAGCTAAGGACAACTTTTTAATCTCTTTTGCCATGAAGTCTATCTGGCTTGGATAGAGGTATTGGAATCCACTTGATGTAACCCAACCTTTTTCCTTCTATCGTTATCATCTGCAAGCCATTGATTTGCATCTTCAGATAATTCATATAAATTTGCAACAATCTCCTGAGGATTTTTCTTCATAAGAGGATCTCCAACTGTGTTGTTTAGCGTCCTCTTACCAGAGGGTGTCATCCCATCCCAAAAATCTTGGAGTTGCATCCACAAATCATTTCTGTATCTTTCTTCTCGAAGTTGTGGATGTCTTCTCGAATTTTTCCTGTTTTTGTAGCCGAAAAATATTTTTCAAGGAACTTATTTGTCATGTCTTCCCAAGTTTGAATTGACCCAGTCGGCAAACTCCTCAACCAGTGCTTAGAATCATCCCTCAGTGAAAAAGGAAATGTCTTTAAATAATCTTTCGATACCCCGTTGTGCTAGAAGGTATTCATAATCTCATTAAAATCCATCAAATGTGTATTTGGATTTTCGTTAGGTTTGCCTCCGAAGACACAATTGTTCTAAATTGTCTGAAGAGCCCTTGCTTGATCTCAAAATTATTGGTTGCAATCGTAGGAGGTCGCATACTAGATACTCTTTGGTTGGAGACTATCCTGGCATAGTCTCCCAGTGATCGTCCAGGCCTCGTCATATTATTTTCAAATTCGTCTTCAACCAGAGGTCGGTTTAGGTTGAATCTTTATCCTCCATTCCCATCAACTGTTTCATCATCTCTGAGAGCTACTTCAGTAGCTGCCCGTGCGACTTCTTCTTGTTGGGCTGCTTCCCCTACAGCCAAATCAACTACCTCCTTACCATTTTTAGCATGTTCTCTTGGGTTAAAGATTGCCCCAAGAATTTTGTCCGGCGAGTTCTTTCTCTTTCCTCAAATGTTGCAGATGCCTTTTCACCTTTAGTTCATATGGAATCACTTCTTTTGAAGAAGATCGAGTCATACACCGGAGAAATTAAACTTGTTTCCTGCACACAAGTAAGAAAAACATGAATACAAGAAAATAAAATTGGTTCCTAAATTAGCACCAAAAACTATTTTGAACACTATTGACTGCCAAACCCCAGCAACGACGCCAAAATTTGACGAGCACAAGACTCAACACAAAATTAATGCTCGCTAGCCAAGATAGTATAGTTTAATTATCATCACAAGGATAGATTAAACAATATTCAAGTATTTTCTGGCTTAAACGCTGTTCAGGATGATTTACACTTTGATTTGAATGATAATGAACTAAAATTAACTATTAAAACTAAAAAAATTAACAATTGATCACGGAGAATATGAACTGAGAAACATAGAAATATCAGTGGGAGAAATAAGGATTGTGACAAGATAGGTGCAAGAGTTATTCGGTATCTAACTCTAGTTCAATTCACTATAATATTCTAATGATTCTCATGAATTCACTTGATGATTAGTTCAATCGTATAGCCAAGACTCCTCTCTCGATTAAATATTAACTCTACAAGGTAAACGAATATGAAGCACTATGAAGGTATGCAAGAATACATTAATGGATTACTCTTTAGGAAAATGTCTCTCGAATATTCTCCTAACTTGATTTAATCAACAATTCAACAACAATAACAAACCCAGTAGTTTCCCACAAGTGGGGTCTAGGGAGGGTAGGATGTACGCAGCCTTACCCCTACCGTGGAAAGGTAGAGAGGTTGTTTCCGATAGGCCCTCAGCTAGAGAATGGCTGAAACTAAAAAGGTAATTGCAACAAATAGGAATAACAGCAAGATAAAATAAGATCGAATCCAAGAACGCAGTGAAACACTAGGTAGTAATACCAATCTATGAGTAAAAAGATATCATACAAACACCAACTAGCGAACTGAGTAAGACAAAGATAAAATGCCGACTACTTACAAAACTTCCACCCTAGTCTTTGACCTTCACACCCTCCTATCTAGGTCCATGTCCTCAGTCAGCTCCAGCTGCGCCATGTCCCGCCTAATAACCTCTTCCCATGACTTCTGAGGCCTACCTCTACCCCTCCTACTACCCACCAAGGCTAACCTCTCGCACCTTCTAACGGGGGCTTCCAAACTTCTCCTCTTGACATGCCCAAACCATCTCAACCTCGCGTCCCGCATCTTATCCTTCACAGGGGCCACTCCCATCTTTTCATGAATAACTTCATTCCTAATCTTATCAAACCGGGTATGCCCACACATCCACCTTAATATCCTCATCTCAGCTACTTTTAGCTTCTAGGTATGAGAATTCTTGACCGACCAACACTCTGCTCCATACAACATAGTCGGTCTAACTACAACCTTGTAGAACCTACCTTTAAGTCTCAGTGGCACATTCTTAACACAGAAGACACCGGAAGCGAGCCTCCACTTCATCTATCCTGCTCCGATACGATGCATGACATCTTCATCAATCTCCCTGTTACCTTGTATTATAGATCCAACATACTTGAAACTACTTCTCTTGGGATGACTTGCATATCAAAGCTCACCTCCATATCCTCTTCCTAGATACCGTTGCTAAACTTGCACTCCAAGTATTCCATCTTGGTCCTGCTCAACTTGAAACCCTTAGACTTTAAGGTCTGCCTCCAAACCTCCAGCCTCTCATAAACACCACCTTGTATCTCGTCAATTAAGATTATGTCATCAGCCAATAACATACACCATGGCACCTCACCTTGAATGTGTCTCGTCAATGCGTCCATTGCCAAGGAAATATAAATGGACTAAGAGATGATCCTTGGTGCAACTCCATCACAACTGGAAAGTGTTCCGAGTTTCCTCCCTCTATCCTAAACCGAGTCTTAGCTTCATCATAAATGTCCTTAATCACCCTAATGTAGGCTACTAGAACCCCTTTAGCCTCCAAGCATCGGCGAAGCACCTCTCTCTGGACTTTGTCACAAGCTTTCTCTAGGTCAATAAACACCATGTGCAAATCCTTCTTCACTTCCCTATAACGCTCAACCAATTTTCTCACAAGGTGAATGGCTTCCACAGTCAAACGCCCTGGCATGAAACCGAACTGGTTTTTAAAATAGACACACTGGTCCTCACCTTCACTTCAACCACCCTCTCCCAAACTTTCATCGTATGGCGAAGTAGCTTAATCCCCCTATAATTATTGCAACTTTGGATATCGCCCTTGTTCTTATACAGTGGAATCATCGTACTCAACCTCCATTTATTGGGCATCTTCTTTGTCCTAAAAATGACATTGAACAGCCTAGTGAGCCACTCCAAACCTGCCCTACCCACATTCTTCCAAAATTCCACAGGGATTTTATCTGGTCCGGTAGCTCTACCCCTGTGCATCTTACGCATAGTCCCCTCAACCTCCTCTACTCTTATGCGCCTAAAATACCTAAAATCCCGGAGCATCTCGGAGTACTCCAAGTTGCCCAGCACAATGTCCCTATCACCCACTTCATTCAGGAGTTTATGGAAATATGTCTGCCATTTTTGTCTAATCTGAGCCTCTTCCATCAAAACTCTACTGTCCTCGTCTTTGATACACTTAACTTGGTCCAGATCATGGGTCTTCCTCTCTCTCACCTTGGCTATCCTATATAGCTTTTTATCCCTGCCTTTGGCCCCAAGCTCTTCATACAAACGCTCAAACACCATAGTCTTAGCCGTAGTAACCGCTAACTTCTCCTCCTTCTTAGCCCTCCTATACCCCTCCTTGTTCATCATTTTCACTATGCTCTCTATAAGCTTCAAGTATGCTGCTTTCCTAGCTTCCACTTTCTCTTGTACCTCTTCACTCCACCACCAGTCACCTTTGTGGTTGCCAGAGAAACCTTTTGAGACCCCTAACACTTCTCTCGCGACTACTATAATATACTTCATCGTCGTTGTCCACATACAACTTGCGTCCCTACTGCTCCTCCAGGCTCCCATTGCCAGCAACTTCCTCCCCCCCCCCCCAAATCCTGCGCTTTGTCATTATTCAAAGCACCCTACCTGATCCTGGGTTGACCATACACAGCCCTTTTCTTCCTCTTCCTCACGATCTCTTAGTCCATCACAAATAACCTATGTTGAGTCATTAGATTCTTGCTTGGTATAACCTTGCAATCCATGAACATACTCCTATTGTACTTTTGGAGGAGTAGATAATCAATTTGAGTCTTGGCCAACGAACTATGAAAAGTGACCAAGTGCTCATCCCTCTTCAGAAAACACGAGTTTGGAAATGACCAAATCAAAGGCTTTAGCACATTCCAACAACGAAGTACCTCCTCCGTTCCTAACTCTAAAGCCGTCGTGCATACCATTATAACCCCCAGATGTCTCCCCAATGTGACCATTAAAGTCACCTCCTATTAATAACTTTTCGGTGTGCAGAATGCCACAGATCAACCTGTTAAGTTCTTCCCAGAAACGCCTCTTAATCTCCTCGTCCAAACCCACTTGAGGTGCGTAAGCACTAATCACGCTAAAAGTAGACCCTCCCACCACCAACTTAATAGTGATCAGTCTGTCAGTCACCCTCCTAACATCTACCACTAGCTCCCTAAGATCCCTTTCAACCAAGATACCTACCTTATTCTTACCCTTCTCATGTTTAATTCCACAAACTCTTTCGATTACTTAAAAAAATCATTGAATTAAACCAAATGAAAATAATGCAAATATAATCACCCAAAATATTCCTCTTTCGATTAAATAATTCGATGTACAAAACTGCAATAAATTCAAAGCTCCACAAATAAATTCATGCAAAATAACTAGATTTAAAATTACCAAAATCAAGCAGACACTATATCCATCAAACTCTAAAGTAAAATACTCCATAATCATAGAGAAATTCATCACAAATAGAGATAAAGAATAAGAAAACATGAATTCAATCCAAACTCGGGTGTTGAGTTGCGGAAAGAATGATGAATTCTTGTGTCGTAGAGTCCCCAATGCTCTTCCAATCTTCCGTAAGTCAAAAGTCCCCTCAAAATCATGTTTTTGGTGTATTTATACCATGTAGAAATGGGTTCAGACGGAATGACCCTTTCCAAGCTGAAACGGGAAAGTACTCTGACAAAGATGCACATGCACAATGCCCCATGCGCCGCACAAGTAGAGAACTTCAGAGGGTTGATTTTTACACTCTATAGAAAATTACACTACCACCTTGCGCCCTGTAGTGCGCCAGCGATATGGTAGTGAAATATTCTCATAGTAAATTTTCTTCTAATTTTTTGATATTCAGACTTGGTCCTCGACCTCCGAACGCGATTCCGGTTTAATTCCTAGGGCTTTTACACATACTTCAAAGTTTCAACTTGTTCGATTTAGTTTCAATTAATCTTAGTAGCTCGAAATCATTTCCTGCAAGGCATAAAACACGTTGGAATAAATTGAGACACTTAGTCCCAAGGCTGGAAGCCTAAGTAGGAAAAGTTGATCGGATGTTGACTTATGTGTAAATGACTCCGGAATGGAGTTTCGATGGTTTCGATAGCTTCGTATGGTGATTTTGGAGTTAGGAGTGTTTTTGGATATCGATTTGGAGGTTCGTAGGTGGTTTTGGCTTGAATTGGCGAAAGTTGAAAAAGCTGAAGTTTGGAGAGTTGAGAAGTTTGATCGATAGTTGACTTTGTTGTTACCAAGTTCGAATTTTGGTTCTGGAAGTTGGAATAGGTCTGTGGTGTCATTTATGACTTGTGTGCAAAATTTGAGGTTAATCAGAATTGGTTTGATAGGTTTCGGCATCGATTTGTAGAAGTCGGAAATCCTTTAGTTTTATTACGCTTGAATTGGGATGCGATTCGTGTTTCTGATGTTATTTGATTTGATTTGAGGCCTCTACTATAGCTTTTAGGTTGACTTTTGACTCTGGATAAAGAACTTAGCCTTATCGTATGGAATCGATTCCTATAGCTTGTATTGACTGTACTAAGTTGTTTGTGGCTAGATTCGAGTCCTTCAGAGCCCGATTCACGAGGCAAGGGCTTGTTAGTGTAGAAATTTTCGCGATTTAAGGTATGTAACACTTCTAAGCTTTGTTATGAGGGTATGAATCCATGAAATACGTGTTATGTGATTGGTATTGAGGTGACGCACATGCTAGGTGACAGGCATGTGAGCGTGCACCGTGGTAATTGTGACTCGGTTGATTATGTGGTACCGTGTAGTTACCAATCCTTGTTGCTATTCATGTAATTTCCTATGTTTTAGAGTAATTGAGTTGCACACCATGATAGAAATCATTTTTAGGCTATATGCTTATTCTGTTGGGACCCACTGAGGTCATTCTTGCTATTGAATTATTTGCTTAAATTGCAATTGTGTACTCAGTCACATCTATCATTTGCATATCATATCTCAGTCTTTGTTGTCATTTATTGTTACATCATGTATCATTGTTTGGGCTGATTGGCATGAGATTTGTGAGCCCGAGAGATTGGAGAGATTGATAACTGAGTTGGGGCTTGAAAGTCGTGTTGTGAGTGAGGTTGTGGATCGGGTTGCACGTCGCAGCAGGCCTTCTTTGCTTTATATATATTATTAATATGGGCTGGGTTGCACACCGCAGCAGGCCTTATAGGCTTTATATATTATGATGGGATCGTGTTGCACCCTGCAGCAGGCTATATTGGCTTTATATTAGCACTTGAGCAAGATCCGCCCCTCCGGAGTCCGACATACCAGCAGTGAGCGCGGGTACGGTACAGTGCTGAGTGATTGAGAGTGATGAGTGAGAGTTGAGATTATCAGATTGAGTACCCTAAGAGTCTGAGTACATGAGTTTATCACTATGATGCGTTACATGCGACATGCACATTTGACATATCGATATAGATATGTAACATTCCTCATATCAGTCATACTTGACATATTTTATTAGTGTTGAGCTTAAATTAAACTTGAAAGCATGTCTACAATTTTGTACTATGTACAAACTGCTTATGAGATTTCTCTGAGTTATTACTGTCATTTTCCTATAATATTTGTATTGTTATTATCTGGATTTAGACTGTACCTTTCTGAACTCATCACTGCTTTCAGCCCAAGGTTAGTCATGTTACTTATTGAGTAGATTGGGTAGGTTGTAATCATACTACACTCTGCACCTCGTGTGCAGATGCATGTACATCTAGACCCGGTGGTTGCCAGACTTGGAGCATTACCTGCTTGGAGACTTTTGAGGTAGTTGTTATGGCATCCACAGACCTCGACCCTCCTTATTTTTAGTTTATTTAGCATTATTCTATCTTTTCAAATAGTCGTATTAGATGTTTTGACTGTGTTGACATTTAGTATCTCATGCACTCGGTAACACCCAGATTTTGGGAGATTTCGTATTTGAGTGAAATTGTTCTTATCGGTACTTATGAGATTTTCAATGTTAAACTTATACATCATGCTTTTATTTAGAAATGAATAGTTATTTTGTTATTGTCGGCTTGCCTAGTACAGTGATAGGCTCCATCACGACATGTTGAGATTTGGTTCATGACAAAGTGGTATCAGAGCCAAGGTTACATAGGTCTCACGAGTCATGAGTAGGTTTAGTAGAGTCTTGAAGATCGGTACGGAGACATCTGTACTTATCTCCGAGAGGCTACCGAACTATTAGGAAAAACTTCACTTTGTCGTATTCTTGTCGTGCGGATTTGTTGAATCCGGAAACTAAACTTCTATTATTCTATTTCCTCATAGATGGTGAGGACACATGCTAGCGAATCGGGCGGACGACCACTAGTACCACCAGCTAGGGCCGCGGTAGAGGCCGAGGTGCAGCTCATACAACAGCTAGAGCAGCACCTGTGGATCCACCAGTTTCTCCAGCTCAGGAGAAGATACCGGATGTGGTTGAGCCGGTGGGACCAGCTCAGGCACCATCTGTGCCCATTGTGATTCCAGGGCTTCAAGAGACTCTGGCCTAGATATTGACTGTATGCACTAGCCTTGCTCAGGAGGTTTCAGTTCCAGTTGTACCAGCCACTTCTCAGGCCAGGAGAGGTGCTAAGACTCCCACCGCCTGTACTCTAGAGCAGGTAGTTCAGGGACTTCAGACACCGGGGTACTACTAGCCCAGCGAGTTGCAGCGGCTCAGGCCCTGGTAGTCCACCTATGAGTGACAAGGAGCAGAACAGACTAGAATGGTTTGGGAGGCTCAGGCCTGCCGAGTTCAGTGGGGCTGAGTCGGAGGATGCTCAGGATTTTTTAGACAAATGCCAATGGATCCTTCACACGGTGGATATTCTTGAGACTAGTGAATTCTCATTTACTACTTTTCAGCTGTCATGGGAAGCCTTTAGATGGTGGGAGGCCTATGGGTTGAGCAGTCCAGTCGGCGCTGCACCACTTACATGACATGAGTTCTCAGTTCTCTTCTTAGAGAAGTTTATTCCACAGACCTGTAGAGAGGAGTTGCGTAGGTAGTTTATCCATGCAGGAGGGTATGTCTGTGACATAATTTTCGATGAGATGTTCAAATTTGGCTCGTCACGTGATCTGGTTGGTTCCCATAGAGAGGGAGAGGATTAGGAGGTTCATTGATGGCCTCAACTATGGATTGCGCTTCGTCATGACTCGAGAGATTGCATCAGGTGCTAGGTTCGATGAGGTGGTTGATATTGTTAGGCGGCTAGAGCTGGTTCATAGGCAGGAGCGTCTGGAGAGATAGGCAAAGAGGCCTCGTGGTTCGGGTGGTTTCAACGGTGTTTCTTCTGGAGGACAGTCCCACCGTAGCAGGGGTCGCCCATACAAGCCCGCTCAGATGGCTCGTCTAGTTCATCTTGGTGCATCACCTAGCCATGGTCCATAGATTGCTCGTTTGGATCAGTCATCTCTCAGTGCCCTCCCAGCTTAGAGTTCATCTCGTGCTCCATCAATTTAGGGTTCATCTATACCTGGTCCTTCTAGTAGCTATTCTGGTTCACAAGGTCCGATTC